GTAATTTAATATACATATATACAGGGTAGACCATTTTAATCAATACACGCGAATATCTCAGAAACACTGCAAATCGAAAAATGTTTCAGATAATAGTTGTATGGCTTGAAGGGGACATAAGAAAGTACCATTAATTTGATCAGGGCATCTTATATGCTTTTGCATATTCTTGTAGCTTGCCTCAAAAGCTTTCCAAAATACTATAATAAAATATTTTTTTATTGAGTACTTTTCGAGTTATGAGGCTTGAAATCATTTCTTAATTTTACATAAACCGTAAAATATCTTGTAAAATATTCATTTTTCGATTATCTTACCTTAATATTTTTATGTACAAAATAATGAAAGGAATCAATTAGTGTAAAGAAAACACATAATTGTTTCGAAAAAAAAATGTAATTATTAATAGCAAATTACATTTTTTTTCTCCGAAACAATTATGTGTTTCTTTACACTAATCGATTCCTCTCATTATTTTGTGCATATATATATTAAGGTAAGATAATCAAAAAATGAATATTTTACAAGATATTTTACGGTTTATGTAAAATTAAGAAATGATTTCAAACCTCATAACTCGGAAAGTTTAACGAAAACTAATTTAATTATAGTACTTTGGAAAGCTCTCGAAATGAGCTACAAGAATATGCAATAGCATATGTCCCGTTTACAAAGTTGGAGGTGACCTTCACGTGATCTTCAGGTGACTCTTCAAGATCAAATTAATAGCACCATCTTACCCAGCCACCGTCTCCTTTCAAGCTATACAACTTTTGTCTAAAACATTTTTCGATTTAATGCAGTGTTTCTGAGATATTCGCGTGTATTGATTAAAATGATCTACCCTGTATATATATACATACATATATATATATATATATATATATATATATATATATATACAGGTTGTCAAAAAATTTTTTGTAGTTCTGAAATGTAAAGGTAAATTGGTTCAAATTAAAAAGAAAGGTCCTATACTATTTTGCGATATTTGCAATAATTAACAAAAAATTAAAGAAGATCAACTAATGAGCATGACTAGAAATGCGCGGCGGCGAAGACGGTCCCATTGTAACACAATAGCGACGCGCGGCGAAGCGGTGATTGGGGAGAGGAGGAGCGATGAGTGTGTAGGCGCACAGCAAAGGCTCTTCCCGTCCCCAATCATTATTTTGCCGCGCGTCGCCATTATGTTACAGTCAGACCGCCTTTGCCGTCGCGCGATTCTAGCCATGCGCATTGGCCGATCTTCTTTAATTAATTTTTCGTTAATTATTGCGAATATCACAAAATATTATAGAATTTCCTTCTTAATTTGAACCACTCTACCTTCACACTTCGGGACTACGAAAAATTTCTTGACACCCTGTGTGTGTGTATATATATATATATATATATTTGTAATTAATTTATTTTATATGCATTTTCGAATGTTGTCTGTACTAAAGGATACACATTTTATTTTAAATAGAATTTTATCCTAAATTTTGTCAAATTTATAGATAAATTATATCGTCTAAAATGAACTTGAAAATATATATTATAGGTCATATTTTAAATCAATTATAATCTGAGTTTATAATCACTATATAGTTATAGATATACGAATAGATTTGAATTAAACTATTATAATGATGTAAAGTAAATAATTTTTGAAATTATATATCTATATGTGTATGTACAATATTACATCATAGATTAATTTACGTAACAATCTCTTCTGTATTCTGTACAATTTAAAATCGTAATGTATTAATACACATTGCAAGTGCGATATATATATAATTCTAATACAACATAATTCTAATACTATACATTTTAATACTATATAAAAATATATTAGAATATGTGAAATAACTTTAAATAGTTAACATATTCAAACAATATAAATCTATGTATTTTACCATAGACTTATAGAAATAGACTGCGCAAGACTGTTTTAAACATTAGAAAGAGAGAGCGATAGCGATCGGATTTCTTTCTCTCTCGCAGCATTGAAGGAGAGAAGATATCATGGTTAGAGGAGAATGAACAGAAAAAGTACGAAATGCGCTTTTCTGTTCTTCAAAGCTGCTGGATGAACTATTTATCAAAAATCTTTTCTCTTCATTGGACTCGCTGAAGAAGTCCTTAAGCGACCCTATGTTAAATCCTGACCAGAGATACTTTCGTTTTACAGAACATCTTCTTCGCCCCTTCAGTCCTGAAAAACCACACTCATCCGAGCGGCGGATTTCTTCAAAGAAAAAGAAAAAAATTTTCCCCGCCAGCTCCTAGGTGGAATGACGTGTCAATACGTGACTCCACGTATCAACAAGCGGTGAATGCTAAACGCGCTCTCCTTTCTATTCTTAAAAAATATTTATCTTTTCTAACTATCTCGCCTTTAAAAAACAAGAGGCGATTACTAGGAGAATTTTGAGAACGGAGAAGCGAAAGGGCTGGAAGGAATTTTATGATAGACTCAATCCGAACACCTCCATTTCACATTTATGGCGTTTTATCAAACGTTTCAGATCCCGTCAATTTGAAGTTCCCATCACTCCCCATTCCTCTAATCTTCATCCCTCACCCTCCGTTCAGAACTCCATCAACTCTCTCTGTCCTCTATCTGTCTTTCATCGTGTTTTTTCATCGATCGGTGACTTTCCTATAAACTCTACTCATGTAAAATATTTAATGATCCTTTTTCTATCCAAGAACTGATCTCGGTTATCCGTAATTTAAAAATTCATACTTCTCCCGGACTTGATAAAATAGATAATAGAATGCTCTCTCTTTTACCGGAAGAGTATCAATTTTGCTCGATATTCTTAATTCCACTTTTGATTCCACTTTTGACTTTTGTTGTTTTCCAAGCACTTGCGACACTCTAATATTTCTTATCCCCAAGTCATCTCCTGATAAACTCCGCCCTATTTCCCTAATCTCCTGTTTCCTTAAAGTCCTTGAAAGACTCATTTTGTATCGCCTTGGTTGGTGGGTGAAGTGTTCTCTTATCCTTCCTCCTTTTCAATTTCGCAAAAGAGCCTCATGTCTTGATAACCTGGGCATATTAACTACTGAAATCCATCATGGATTTATTTCTAAACAATCAACAATCTACCTGTTCCTTGATATCCAAGGTGCATTGGATAACGTCATCCCCTCTATTTTGACTTTTCAACTTATTGACTTGGGCCTTCCGCCTAAACTCTGTTGGTTTATATATCAGCCCAGCAAACCAAAATATTGCAGCTACATTGCCGCAACATTGCTGCAATGTTGTAATATTGCCGCAATATTGCTGTAATATTCTGTGTTTGCTGGGAGTTGACATGTCTCAGAGAGTTGCAGTTTGTCATAAATGGAAGCCTGATGGAGTATCTTTTTTCTCACAAGGGTGTTCCTCAAGGTTCAATTTTGAGTCCATTGCTCTTCAATCTTTATTTGTCAAGATCCGCTCTATCTAGAGGCTGCCGGATGATATAATTTGCTGACATCGCTCTATATAAGCGTTCTCCTGATATTGAATCCTCCTATTGTCACTTGAGCGATCTGCGGATGCTCTTTCGGCCTTTTTATTCGAGAGGGGCCTGGTGATTTCTCTCGCCAAATCGACTCTCATGATCTTTACGAATAAAAGAATCAATCCTGCGAACTACTTCATTCTCTTAGAGAATTCTAACATTTTTCCTGTGCCTTTAGTCAGGTTTTTGGGGATTCTTCTCGATCCTCACCTCACCGGCTATCTTCATGCCAAATACGTTATTAATAAATGTGGCAAACTTACTAATAAAATTCTTAAGGGGGAGGTCTAGTGGGGCTCTAACCCTAAGACTCTGCTGGGCATATATAAAAGGATTATGATCAGGGGGACCTCAGACTACGCTTATTTTCTTTTTCTGTTTCCATAACAAGAGCCTCACGTTTTGAGCGTGTGTCACGGAGGGCTTGAGGTATTGTATTGGACTTAGACGTTCCACACCATGTAACATAGTATACGCAGAATTATGTGTCGGCCCTGCCCGTTTTAGATCGGATTTTCTGGCTCAAAAATTTTTATTTAAATCTCTTGCTACTAGGCCTAATATTTTAATAGATAATCTCCAGTCTTCCATTTTTCTCATTTTGAGTCTAGTTTTCGTACTGATTTACTTGGTAGATTCCCCCTCTATCGGGCCTACCGCTTCGCGAAAGATTATAGATCTAGAATCGCAGCCTTTAGGAGCCTACCAGGATTCCGCTATTTTTGTTCTCTTACAAAACTTTTACTTTCGTTCCGAGAGTCGATTACACTCCCCCCCCCCTCCACATGTGGTTGAGCAAATCACCTCGGCAGCTTTTCCTTAGCTTGTTTTTCTCTCTCATTTTTCGTATCCCATCGGGGGCAGATGCTCCTTTTATACAGATGCATTAAAATCTGATTTACTCCCGCATTTAGGCGCAGTTTATGCGCTCTCCTGATATTTCAATACAGAAGAAGCTTGATGACTGTTTCTCTATTTTTTCGGCTGAATGCATTGCCATTATTTGTGCTATGGATTGCATCTTTGAAAGAGGCATCAAAAGAGCTTCGATATTTACTGATTCCCGCAGTGTTGTAGAGACTCTGTCCAACGGTTCGTTGGACGGAAATCTTTCATATTTTATATTAGTATTGAGAAAGAAGCTGAGGTCAGCCTTTTTGCAGAGTTTGGACATTGCTATTACTTGAATCTCTCCCGATGTGGGTATTCTCGGTAATGAGACGGCGAACTTCCTGGCGGAGAAGATTGCTCAAGACGGGGAAACGATCGATTATCTCCCTCCCCATATTTACTTTTACTCGATCGTACGGGAGAAACGCCATACTGTCGAGAAATATTTGCTTGCCCAATCTGAGATTTGAGGCGCGCAATATTTATCCGTCTTTATCCGACTTTCGCGAGGCGACCGCGGTTTGACTTAATCTTAGTCGAGTGGAAATAACAACTATGTATATGTAGAATCCGATCTAACCACTATAATTTAAATTACAGCCTCCACAGGTGTCTAGTCGGACGATCTGATTGTTCCTGTGGCTCACCCCGACAAGACATTCAACATATTTTGTGATCCCATCCACTACTAAGAAGTCACCGAACACAACTGACGTGCTCAAACGGGAAAGCCCTGGGCACCTCTCCTCCTTACAATATTTTTGAACTCCTGAAAATCTTTCTGTTAAAATTATAAATCCTATTTTAACCTTTCTCCATAAGACTGAGGTGCTTATATAACTCGGCCATTCATAGTCCGACCGGATAAATTGAACTCTTTACTTATTGCAATTTTGAACACAATGAAGATATCTGGCAGCATGGGCGAAGATTAATATTGCTCAGTGCCAAGACTGAAGAAGAAGCTTTTCTGTTTATATACAGTAACTATAAACCTAACCATGCAATCTTCGCGTAGTACATACATTTCGGATAATACGATACTTGAAACTTGTGAAACTGATAACTTGAAAAGTACTGAACGAAATTGAGCTTTATATTACATCATTTTGAAAAATTCTTGACATCAGTTACAATAATACATAATAACAAATATAATTTACATTAAAAAAAATTAAGTTGACCTTAATCTGACCTTGACAACGCTATCCATGTCGAATACATACTGACTGAATGTGCCTTCTTAAACCTTATAACTTTTTTTTCTAAAATGAATTGTTTATGAAATATTCGACTATTTCCACACTTTTGGCACACTCTGTATAATGATAATGAAAGTAAAAAAATAGAATATATTTAAAACTATATCCAAATATATCCAAATATATTCAATTCTATCAAGAATATGTATCACAAATGTATGCTACAGATTATAAGATATTCTTAATAAAAATTGTTATTTATTACTATTTACATTTTATATAATTTATTTTATTATTATTATTAATTATTTGTTCCACTTTCTACTTTCAATGACCCAGTAAGCAAAATGTTAACAGTCTGCCAGCAGCATGCGACCAGATTCAAACAGAATATTGCGGCAGATTGGCATCAACTGCGTCCGCATTAAGCTTGGGTTCTGCTAGCAGAATCTGTCAGCATAAATCGACAGCAGATTGACAGCAGAAATCGAGCAGGATCTGCGCGTGCAATTTGATATTAGATTGTCAGCAGGAACCGAGCAGAATCTGCACATGCATTTGCGATGGCAAATTGACAGCAGAAACTTCACAAGATTTGCGCTTACTTTTATTAATGTTATATAAATGCAACAAAATTGATTATTACAGGTGCTAAATAACAATATTATCGGCAAGTTAATTAGAATTTTATTAGAAAATGACATATATGTAATATGTTATATCGTAGTTATATTTCATATAGCGAAGGACTAATTCAATTTAATTAAATTAATAATAAAATAAATGATAAAATGTAACTTGTAAAATTTGAGATGTAATTTATTTAGAATTAAATTCTTGCTTTATGCTTCAAATAGGCAGTGCATGAATAATTTTCCATTTATCATATTGATTTCAATTAGTTTAATATTCTGACTCTCATTTGCTTGTATCAGATATCAGAAATTAAAGTGATAGAAATTAAAATGATAATTACTATATTTTTAGTCTTTTATTCATATTACGCGACTTTATATATATTTCTAATAGAAATTCAATTACGAGAAAGTACAGCTCACGTAGCGGTAAGTGAAGGAACTATCGAATCATGTAAACCCTGTTTCGTTTCTGCCATCAATCTGCTCAGAGATTGTGTGCGCAGATCCTGCTCGATTTCTGCCGACAATCTGTTGTCAAATTGCGTCGCACAGATCCTGTTCAATTTCTGCCACCAATCTGCGCTATGATAATTTTAAACAAATCCTGTTCAGTTTCTGCTATCAAATTATGTAAGCAGATGTAATATTTCTGCTGACATTCTGTAATCATTATTTGATATAACAAATTTTTTATACAATCTGCCATCATACTGTCGACAAAAATTTGTAGCAGAAATTGACAAAATCTGTTTGAACAGACTTTGCTGACTGGGGATACATTTTTGTTTTTAATTTAACATAACATATTTAATATAACAAAAGAAAATAACAATATTATTTGTTGTAAAATATTCTTATTTAATGAAATAATTATGGAAAACGTATATAAACGTATATAAACATTCCTATATTTTATAAATAATTAAAACTTGTTATTTTAGATTTTATAATATAATGAATAATTCTTTTAGATTTTATAATATAATGAATAATTCTATTGTTTTATATGTAAACAAAATATATGTACTTCATTTTTTTTCTTAGTGGCTATCTTATAATAACATATGAATATATAATATTAATATAGTTGTAATAATATAATCCTAATGAGTTTAATAGAATATTAATTTTAAATGAATATTTATTATTAATCTATCCTTTATTAATTCTTTATATTAAGATTTTGTGAATTTTTATTTTCATTGTTGACCTAAAAATATCACAAATTTTAAATTTTAGTAATTTTTCTAAATTTTTGTATAAAATATAATAGCAAAAAATTAATAAATTTTTATCTACATCATTAGTACACAAATTTTTACCAATATTTTTCACAATATTATATTATATTATATATTTTTCACAATATTACATTATATTATACAATATTATATGTATTATGGAAATTTACTTTATTCTCTAACTTACCCATTGTAAAAAAATTATAAATCATCAATGTCATTGTCATTGTCTTCAATCTCTGTTTCTATTGGATCATCTAAGTCAGAATCTAAAATTTCAGATGATGCATTTATTAATTCATCAGAAGCTGCATTAATTTCTGATAAAGTGGTTTCTTCTGACGATGTCTAAAAATATAATAAATTAATGCTTCATTAAAATTTTTACTTATTTTTCTCTTTCAATTTATAAACATAATAAAACTTTGCACAGTTTATAATAATTTAGACAAAAACCTGTGAAAAAATTTCGCGACCCTCTAAATTTTTATTAACAAGATTTCCCATCCAAAAAGCTGCTGCACTATCATTAAGAACTAACATTCCTTTCACACTATAAATTAATTTTTCCAATATAGATTTTGCTGCAGGCACATATTTAGTCAATGGCAAGTTCTTTTTTTCTGTGCAGTCACAACATATAGCATGTAAATATCGTGTACCACCTAAAAGTAACATTATATAAATTAAAAAAGAATATTTTTTATTGTTAATTATATATACATAGTTAATAATTCATGATTCTAATTTTGCGAATAAATTTTGACGATTTTGATATTGATTTATCTCAAGTAAAATTACTTTTTATTTATAATTTAAAAAAACAAAATGCTTTCTTTTATTAATAGGATAAAAAGATATATTTTAATTTTAAGTAACTTACAAATAAAATTAAATAAATGTATAACTTAGTTATAAATAAAATTATAATAAATGATGATCTTCTATGTGCTTTATTAAGAAATTGGCATTTCAAATTTACCAAAGAAGTTATTAAAATTAAGATAATATCTTATGTCAGTGCTGGGATTTACTTGCAACTTTCGGCCAGATTTCTTAGCTTACGCCTACTATTCCCCTCTTATTGCTTGCTCCTTAGCGACCGCGCCACCGGACGCTCGTAACTAAGGAGTGATCAGGAACGTGCGCGTTACAAATGTTATGTGACAATTTATCTAAGTTCTCTTTATTGTTTATTAATAATAAAAATAAGTATTCTATTATTAATTACGTATATGTTCTGTAATAATTTAAAATATTTGTGTTTTGAATCGTAATTACAATAAGAGAATTTAGATAGATAGATTGCCACATTACATTTGTGACGCACACGTTCCTGAGCGCTTCTTAGTTACGAGCGGCGCGAGCGGTAAGGGGAAAACAGTAGGCGTAAACTAAGAAATTCGGCCGAAAGTTGCAAGTAAATCCCAGCACTGTCTTATGTAATTAAAATATCTGCCATGCATATGTCTCATTCACAAGAAAATTAATCTTTACCTTGCATCATTTTTAGAATACAAGTTACATCATCTGTTTGATACTTTAAATTATGTTCTAATATTGGCATACCAATATTTAAAAACTGTTTTATTACAAGAGGCATATATCTTAAATATAGTTGTATATTAACATTTGTTTTCAATGTTTTACAAATTTGCACAAGTTTTTGAACATTTGATGCAATACTGTACCATACTTTGATTCTCTTTGGATCACTAAAAAAAATGTATTTATATTGACAAATTCTTAAAATTGTATTATGTACTAATTTAAATTCGTTAAATACTTTTAATACAAAATATAATGAGCTTTGTTATTCTAGAAAAAAAGTTATTTCTTAATAAGAATAACATAACTATACTTACGAATTGACTGCTGATAGTGATATATCGATACCTTTATTTAAACCATCAAAGAGTTTTTTGTATAATAAATGAAAAATCTTTTTATTTAGAGAAGGCATTCTTGTTAAGATATTTTCAAAATTGGAAACTTCGTCTGGTAACCATTCCAAAATTGATGTCACTGTATCTAGTGGCGACGGTTCATTATCTATCCAATTATTTAATAATTGAATAATGGATAATTTATATTGAGAATCAGCATATCTGTCCTCAGGCCATTCCAGACAAAGAAATCCATAAGCTAGTTTTGCTAAAGTTATAAAATATATAGAAAAGAATAGTATAGTAGTAATAAAATATATAATAAAAAATTTTAAAAATTCTTGGTATTCAATAAAAAAAACTTATGTATTACTTACCATGTTTATTTTTATGTTGTTGAGTATAAGTCTCAGAATGTTTCATTAAAGATTGACACATATTAACAAGAGCGGTAGCTAACGATATTTCCGTAGCAATGTCTGACAACGATTCAAAATATTTGTATGATTCCGTAACAAGTTCCTTACAAGATCGTAATCGTACATTTTCTGCATTAATTTGTGCAGCTAAACTACGTAATCCCTCTAGAAAAAATATATATATATAATTTGTTGACAAAATATAAGTATAAAATTTTTATAAAATTTTATAATATAAATGTCTTTTCAAACTTTCAGCAAAACTATCGTACCTCTTAGCAATGTATTATATGTTACACTCAAAAATCCTTTCCAATTAAAAATTGTAGCGAGTAGACATAATAATAATTTTGCCGCTTTTCTAAAATCATGAGTATTTTCTTGTCTCAATCTGCCAACAACATCTTCTAATTTTGAGCAAATTTTTGGTAGTAGGTGTATTAAATCTTTCACAAAAGATTTGGAAGGTTCATTTTCAAATATTGCTAAAAGTTCTCTTACAACAAAACAAACTTGTTTTATCGATATGCCTTTTGTCTCAGATTGTGATGATTGTGAATTTATTTTAATATCCAAAAGATGAGCTATCTAGAGATATAATAATGACACAGTATTAAGAAACAATCAATATTTAGTGATTTGAGAAATTGAGAATGACAACAGAGTGTTTATTTTAAAACTTTCTATGTGTTTATTTCATAATTGATTATTTTTTGCGAAAAATGCAAAAAGATATAAATTTTGTTTTCAAGGGGAACATTAAGTACATTAAATGCAATACATTAATAACCAAATTTTTTCATCCCTTTCGTCGGGATAGTTACCCCTTCAAAAATCTTATTATTGTTAAATGGCAATAGGAGTTAAGTAATATATCATTTTAAAGATCTTTTAATTCTCTATAAAACTCTTTTTCTTTTATTTAAATGAATATTTTTCGAGAAATCGCAATTGGAAGTTTTAGGTAAAAAATGTTTTATACAAAGATACATTTTAGAATAGAATTTATTTATTAGTAATTTATTATAATAAATGTTCAAAATGTTCTCCATTGTTTTCTAAACAATAATATAAAGAATTTTCAAATTCTGAATGAACATTTTGAAAGACTTTTTTTCTGTGGGGGCACTTAAAATCCGTTGTTTATGAAACATCAGTGAAAAATGTAAACGATTTGCATCGAAGAATTGCACAAGCATGCAGAGCTTGCTTCCTGTAGAAACTTTCAAAATGTTCGTTCAGAATTTGAGAATTTTATATTGTTTACAAAACGATTTGAACATTTGTTATAATAAATGAGAACGTTTTGAATATTTGTTATAATAAATAAATTCTACTCTAATATCTACTCTAATTCTACTCTAGTATCTTTGTATGTAAAACATTTTTTACACTCAAACTTCCAAGTGCGATTTCTCGAAAAATATTCACTTAAATAAAAAACAAGTATAGAGAATCAAGACATTTAAAATGATATACCACTTGAGCCTTATTACCCATTTAGATTCTTGAAGGAGTAATTACTCCCATGAAGCGGATGAAAAAATTTCGTTTATATTTAATGTATTTAAATGTCCTCCTCGAAAACAAAATTGATATGTTTTGGCATTTTTTGCAAAAAATAGTCAATCATGAAATAAACGGGTGAAAAGTTTCAAAATGGACCTGTATATAAAATTTATAAGATTTTTTATAAGATTTTTAGATTATATTAATTTTATCAATTTTTAAGATTTTTTAAATTTATTAATTATTAATGTTTTAAAAAAATGACATATTCCTCTAACTTTTAAATATAATTAATAATTAAAAATTTTTGCAAATTAATAATTAAAAATTTTTGCAAATTAATCTTCTTTAATTAATTTTTAAATTCTTTAATAAAGCAAACTTTATCAACAAGATTTTATGGCAAAATTACAAAGTATATACAATTGATAGCTATGAAGTAAAACTCAATGCAGCAAGAAACAAATATAACTTAGAAACATTGTATCTAAAAGCGAGAATATATATTTATAGGAATTTTTTTTTCAATTGGATGTCTTTAAAATAATTCCGTTTGTTGAAATATATATTCCACATATAGCTATGCTAAAAGTCATTATTACTACCTATTATTAATACCTTTGCATCGAACTTTCTGAAATATGCTGGATTTTTAGAACATAATATAGAACTTATCTCACTGGATTCATCTTCTACATTTACAGAAATGTTCAATTTATTTCCTTTCATAGGCTTCTTTCCTTTTTTATTAGTCTTTCTTTCAATTTTGATAAATTGTGGTAGTGGAAAATAATGAAAGTAACATGGTGGAGGTTGATATTTAACGTCGCATAATGTTAATAGCATATTCAATTCACCTTGCAAATATATCAAAGTATCTAAACGTTTTAATACTTGTTCTCGTAATAATGGATCTGTTTGTGTGACAAAGCCTGTGATTATCTCCCTAAGCCTGTAAAATAATATTCCTTTCACAATTAATTACTTCAATTAGACTTGACAAAATATTAAACAGAAATTATGTACATACTTTTATATTATAGAAAAAAAAAGAAATTTAATTTTAATACTCACCAATTAATACCACACATAATAAGATCTAATATTGGAGGTTCCGGTATATCAAAATTTTGTGGCATTAACATTTTACACCCTAAAAGAGCATCTATAGCTTCCAATTCTCCATGCGCGTTGGTCTTCATACAACATGTCTTGAGAAGTTTAAACAATATTGGTGCAATTGGACCATTTCTTTTGTTTCCAAAATTTAGTACATAATTTTCTGGTTCATGTTCTACATTATTTAGTCCAAATTTAGGTACTAAATCTTCACTAATATAAACAAAAATTACATATTACAATATATATTTATATCATCCTCTATGTAAACATTATAAATAAATTGTTCTCTCTGTCTCTCTCTTACCACCTCCCCCTCCACACACACACACACGCGCGCGCACGCACACACACGCACGCACACACACGCACACGCACGCACACACACGCACACGCACACACAAAAGCGCGAACGTATGTGTTGCAATACATGACGTTTAAAATAAATATTTATGAAATTAAATCAATTTTACAGGTTTTTTCTATAATATTTATAAAAAAACATAATATAACATACAGAAATTTAAGATGTCATTTACCTGGATTGTGGTTTATCTGTCATATATGTATTAACAAACTCGTCTTCAATGTGGTTAGTAATTTTGTGAAGAAAATTAACATTAATAGTTTCAGTTTCTGCAATAATTTGTGCCAATTGGTCGTAAAACAAAGGTTGTGATTTAGAACAACTTTTCACATTCTTCATTACTTTATCTATATATACACACACCCACAAAAAAATATTCATATTAAATTTCTTATTACTCTATCACTGTCTTATAAAAAAATATAACGCATTAAAGAATATTTTAAACTTCATCAAACATAAGTCTCTCGAATTTAACAGCTTATTATATACTTTCTTATATATCATACAAAAATTTGAAAGATAAAATAATAAGCACTTACTAAATAATTTTATAGCTTTATCACAGCTTTCTGCTTTTCCTGCTAGATGTTTTATTGCCATTACAGCTCCCATGACACCTTTGCATTTTGTACTGAAAATTATTTAAATATTTATATATCTCATATACTAAAATAAAATATATTGTATTAATTCTATACTTGCTTACATTGGTTTGGCGGCGGACAATTGCTTTTGCAACAATATAAATAAGTCATCTCGTAAGGATTCTAAAGTAGCATTGTCAATTAAACATAATTTGTGCAATAAATCACTCAAAGTGCCAATTTCTTCAAGTCCAAAACAATCTATTTTCTCTAATAAAATTCTTAGATGATTGCATTGAGATACTAAACAATCTCTTTCAACTGTATTCTCTGCCATTTTACAAAGTATAGTCATCGCATGTTTTACAGTTTGATCATTATTACCCATAAGTAAAATAATCTTTTCTATAATCTCACGTTGTTGAAACAACGCCCCTTTCTGACTGAGAAACTGCAATCGGAACCATTCAATTGCAAAATTAATAAACACTTGTTCTTCAGATTTTAGCAATTTACTTGCTAATTGTAATATTGATGATTGTAATATCCGAATGACCTGGAAACAAATATATAAGCATAACAATCCATATGTATTTACTAAATAGAGATTTCGCATATATATTTTTATTTAAAAGATACAAACCTCTTTATAATCATTGTAAAGTGTATGAAGCAGACTTATTCTATAAAAACCACAACGGATATTCTGTTTTAATAAGGCTTCTGCATTTTTTTGTTTTATTGTTCCAGAGAATACAAGAAGCAAAATGATTAAATCTAATGGTTTGGGGTCTTTATTGATATCTTTTACTATCATTATTGCAATATTTATAATATCTTTATCTAATAACATAAACGTCTTTAATGTTTGAATTATTTGTACTTGATGTTTATAACAGTCCTCAACTTTATCCCCAACAAGAGGCTGCATTTCTATATTGCGTAGTATAAGTAACATTTGTTTAACAGTATCAGAACATGTATAATTATTAAGAAGAAATCTAGAAATTGGAAAAGTTATTATAAGTAAATGTTATATCATATGTAATAACAATTTAGAGATACAAAAAAAATATATATATATACATACCTGATAACAATTGGAATAAATTCTATTTTTATATTTGTTTTTAACAAATGTAATACTTTAATTTTATATTCTTCTAAGTATTCTTTATCAAGATTAAAACTAGCAATGCAATTTAAGATTACATTTGTCAATTCACAATTTTCTTCTAACATTTTTGTTAATATTTCAGCAATATTTCGATGTTGAATATCTGATAAAATATCAGGCAAGAATAAAATGAGTTCATATTGAAACCATAATGGACATGTTTCTAATAGTTGTTCTATATTTGTAGTTACTACATCAACGTTAGTTATAGTATCTAAAAAACGAAACTGATGTAACAATGGTATAGCCCAAGGTATTTTTTCTGGAGTATCTCTATAAAAAAATACACAATATATATTAATTAAAATATGATTATTTTTTCAATATTACAATTACATTAAATAAGATGTTTTATATAAAATGTTACAAAACTTTGCTTTTTCCAAAACTGAACATTGCACAAAAAAAATGATTTAGATAAAATTTTGAGAGAGAAAAATGTTGATATAATCTTAAATTTTAACTAAAATCGTTTTTCAAAGCCATGTGCAGATTAATTTAGTTTTTAATGAAATAATTTTATATAAATTTTTGCAATATGCGGTACAAAATATTACAAAAAATAATGATCAAAAAGTGAATACAAGATATTTCACAATTTATGTAAAATTGTCAAAAATTGAAGTATAAAATATTTCATAAACTCAATTCAATTTTTGATTATCCTGTTCTTATAACTTCTTACACTAAATATTGTGAAGAATTATTTATATGAAAAATTAGAGTAGTCCCACTTAAAAAGAATTAGGTTGACTTTTACATGACCTTGAAAAATGTCATTAGTTAAAATTTAAGATTAACTTTTTTTTTGCCTCTCAAAACACTATAAATTCTACCTGTGATTTTTAATATATCTAATACCAAAGAAAATATATCTTGTAATACTTCTTATAGGATCCCTGTACATGAAACAATTGAATTTATAATTTTCATGTATATATCAGAATATCAAAAATTAAATTTTTCTAATTACACTGATTTTTTATTTATACAAATACATGTAAATTATAAATTATATATATATAAATATATATATATATATATATTTATACAAATACATGTAAATTTTATATATATATATACTTACACTAAAAGAATAGATTCATTAAGTTTAGATATTAATATATTATATATTTCTGTTTGAATTTCTGTAACTTCTAGTAGTAATCTTGCCAGAGATATCTTATTTAGAATACTAAAACTTTTATTATTAGTAGATAATTCCATATCATTTAACATCTTTTCAAAACTATCTTCATTTCTAATATATTCCTCTATTGACTTAATTATATCTTTTTTCTGATATTGCTTTGAATTTAATAAGTTTCTCATCTTCAATTTAGCAATAGCTGAAGGAGCATCTATATAAAGAAAAAAATTTCAACATTATTTTAATAAAATATAAAAATTAAATATAAAAGTATTAAAAACTTACTAAGTACATATGTACTATCATTTGATATTGTGATACTACATTTCTGTAAAAAATTAGAAAAAATAGGTGGTATATAGGAATTTTGTTCTTTTGAAAGATATTCCTCATTGTTAATTCTATATTGCTCTGAATTCTTGTTAGGTTTATTTTTCTTTAACTTTGTAGGTGAAAGAGATTCTTCACATCTATTCTGTTTCTTATGGAAAGTAGATTTAGTAATTGATGACTTAGAACCCAAAGAAAATCTTTTTCCAGAAGAATCGTTAAGATTAACATCATGGGCATCATGTTCCAAATTTCGATCGAGTATAATTTCATTCCGTTTCTTCTTTATAGCTGTATGCTCATTATATGAAAAGTCAAGATCGTTCTCTGAAGCTTCCTCTGGTGAACAAACAACTTTACGTTTCCGTCTAACTGAATAATTAACAGTATGTAAGGACTTATTTATCCCTGACAAATGATCATCATTGTCTTGTTGACTTGTTGCAGATGTGTTTTGTAATATTTGGCTATTAAGCTGTTTTGATATTAATGGTTTAGTCTTCAACAATTTATTGTCAACAATAAAATTTTCCTTTTTCGATATATCTTCCTCAGTTTCACAAAAATTTATTTCTTTATTTTCAACAAAGGATTTATTTTTTACCACTGACTGACTGACCAATGATTTTGATGATCCAATATTTGATAATTTTTCATCACAAAATAAATCTACCTTTTCTTGCATTGCAATCTTGGTTGCATGAAAATTTGTTTGTTTATCGTTTATAATAGAGCTATTAGAACTAGTTCGCTCTAATATCTGACTGACTGATTGTAAATTTTTATGCAAGCCTGTATTAAATATTAATTTTCTTTTATCCATATTGGGAAAATTTGTTTCTGTTCGGAATATAACGTTAGGTATGCTGAAATTAAAAATTCTTACTTCTCTCCTTCACTCAGACCGCGGTCAAGACTGCGTTCGCTTTCCACGCTCATGCGCTGTGAGCGGGGATTGCCCGATTAGACACAGCCAATTATATCGACCGATGCCTAGGGTAATCAGCACGATCAAGCACGATTAGCCAATCAAAGCCAGTTGTGTCCAATTGTACTGTGTCTAATCGGAGGTGTCTAGAGAACCTCTAGGAGAGAGAATGGACAACTGATCAAGCTTTTTCATGATTGGCTGGCAGAAAATGTATCAATTTTAGCTATTGCGACGCCAATGCAAAATATGATGACACACAAATAGGTTAATATAGGGTGCTTTCCAGCTATGGTAACACAGGGTGCTTTCCAGCAAGCAACACAGGCGACACTGTGTCGCTACAGTGTCGACACAGGTGCTTTCCAACTACGACACAAGTCGACACAATCGTACACAGCAAAAATGCTGTGTTCGCCTGTGTCGTCGTTTTGTAGCACCCCAGTGAGTGCCAACATAACATTTCATATTTGGTATCATTAATTTTTTTAAGAATGGTATTGCGTGATATTGCGTCCAAAAGACATCAAAAGACGACTTAAAGACATCTAGACGTCTTTAAGACGACATAATGTTGTGTGGGAACGTTCTGAAAATTTAGACCTAGTGACAACTATTAAAAGTGACTGCCCTGCACTCTAGTGGCAAAATAAGAAAGCTAAAAAGCGTTCCAGCTACAAGTCGACACTGTGTAACACTGTGTCACACAGTAGTGTATCACTGGGTGCTTTCCAGCTATGGTAACACAGTGATACACTGTGTGATACAGTGTTACACAGTGTCGACTTGTAGCTGGAACGCTTTTTAGCTTTCTTATTTTGCCACTAGAGTGCAGGGCAGTCACTTTTAATAGTTGTCACTAGGTCTAAATTTTCAGAACGTTCCCACACAACATTATGTCGTCTTAAAGACGTCTAGATGTCTTTAAGTCGTCTTTTTAGCGAATATAAAAGTTTGGTTATCTTCTATCACGCAATACCATTCTTAAAAAAATTAATGATACCAAATATGAAATGTTATGTTGGCACTCACTGGGGTGCTACAAAACGACGACACAGGCGAACACAGCATTTTTGCTGTGTACGATTGTGTCGACTTGTGTCGTAGTTGGAAAGCACTTGTATCGACACTGTAGCGACACAGTGTCGCCTGTGTTGCTTGCTGGAAAGCACCCATAACCTATTTGTGTCATGATATTTTGCATTGGCGTCGCAATAGCTAAAATTGATACATTTTCTGCCAGCCAATCATGAAAAAGCTTGATCACATGTCACATGATCAGTTGTCCATTCTCTCTCCTAGAGGTTCTCTAGAGGTGTCTCTTGTGAGCATCATTCCGTCTTTATTGCACATCGAATATCAAACAAAGATAGAGAGAAGTGCTAAAATCGTCAAAACGAACGCAGCCTATGAATGTTCCATCGACATATACACTGGACTGAGCATCGCGATAGACAGGCGAGCGCCCGCTGTAGAGAGAGAGATACTACATGGGAGGCCTATGTCTCTCTTTTGCTAGTATCTCATTGGCCGCATTCAGCGGACTCCAGGGACGTAAAAAATACTGGACAGAGTGTATTGCGGGGGTGAAGCTCAAAGGGTGAGGGGAAAGAAATGTCTACTGCAACGGAATATGAGGCATGTAAGATGGCGACGGATATTAATTTCACGGAGTGTGATATTTTTGAATTTCTTAATATTCAGACGTGATTCGGAATAACACAGCGATTTCAGATGATAGATGATTTCACGGAATCTCTCATATTTTATTCGATTTACGTCCGTGCGACGTGAAAATAGACGCTAAATCTGAGGCATCTAAGATGGCCGCGACAATAAATCCCTTACCCCTCAGGCCCCCACACCCCTCGTCTAAAAGAGTACTTTATGCTCTGTCCTGTATTTCTTACGTCCATGGCGGACTCAGTTGAGCAACATTTCTAGATTTTCCGATGTAATTCGACACTGATTGGTCAGATCTGAAAGTAAAAACCAATCATGTTCGATTGTTACTTAGCAGTTGAGTCCGCTGAATGCGACCATTGGTAACTTTGATTCCCACCCATCGAGGAGAGCAATGGTACTGTAAAAGTGCCTTTACATAGGAGCGTCTGAGCATCGAGCGTTAAGGCCGGATCTACAATAGGCAATTTAAGCTTTAAGCCTTAGGAGATTGACCAATCACAGTCAAGTATGAAGAGAATACTCGACTGTAATTGGTCAATTTCTTAAGGCTTAGGGCTTAAATTACCTATTGTAGATCGGGACTAAAGCGTCAAAAAGTGTGACAAGCGCAGTGTGCCTATGCCAATGTTTCATGCATTCGTGATTAAAAATATTGTTTTTATTGATTTTCAACGTGCACACGTTATATCTTATACAAAGAATACATTGTAATAAATAATATTCATGTTGTAATAATATATGTTTAGAAGACATATATTTATGCCAATTATTTGGTTATGTTGTACTACGTTGCTAATCGCGCAATTCTATAATATATATTGTATAATAATATCTATTATATAATATCTATTATATTATAATATCTATTATAATAGTTATATCTATTATAATAATATCTATTATATTATATATATTAATACATTTTCTATGAAGAATATACAATCTACTTATTTCTACGGTATCTATTAAATTTTTATTACTAAACATTGTATTAGCGTCAAGATGCTGGAATCTGCCTGTTCAGAATTATGCGCAAGGGTGCTGCGCACGTGTTTTTGACGCTCAACGCTTGACGCTAAACGCTTCCATCTAAAGACGTCTTAAGGGTCGTCGAGCGGGCTAGGAAGAAACCGCGGGGATTTTATGAAGAGAAAGCTTAAGGGAAATCTTGATCACACTGATGTAATAATGAAATTATTAAAGGTTTGTTTTTTATTCCTGCACTGGCTGCACTAGTTCAAAAAGTGTACACTAAAGCGTTCGTTATTCCAGAATTGGTGTAACCGATACCGTTCGTTATTCCAGCGCAGGAAAACTTAGTGCACGAGTTCACTGAACTGGCTGCACTAGGTCCGGAGGTAGTGCAAGCAGTGTAGAGCAACCAAGGAGGTGTTTTTTATTCCTGCACTGAATATAGCCGACAATTTCAAAACTTAAAGGTTAATGTAAGTATAAAAGTAGAAGTTTTTTTTAGATCAAAAAAAATTTTACAAAATTTATATTTCAATATATATATATATATATATATATATATATATATATATATATATATACATATATATATACAGGGTGAGGCATCTAAAACAGGCCACCTGAATAACTCCGTTGGTAAGCCGAATACAAAAAAATTGTTCAGACAAAAGTTGTATGGTTTCAAGGGGGACATATGATGGTGTCATTAGTTTAATCTTGAAGAGCCACCCGAAGGTCACGTGAAGGTCAGCTCCAACTTTTTAAATGGGACACCTTATATGCTTTTGCATATTCTTGTAGCTCATCTCAAGAGCTTTCCAAAACACTACAATTATGTTAGTTTTCATTAAATACTTTCCAAGTTATGAGGCTTGAAATCATTTTTTAATTTTACATAAACCGTAAAATATCTTGTAAAATATTCATTTTTCGATTATTTTACCTTAATACTTTTATGTACAAAATAATGAGAAGAATCAATTGGTGTAAAGAAAACACATAATTGTTTCGAACAAAAAAATGTAATTGTCAGTTGCAAATTATATTTTTTTGTTCGAAACAATTATGTGTTTTCTTTACACCAATTGATTCTTCTCATTATTTTGTACATAAAAGTATTAAGGTAAAATAATCGAAAAATGAATATTTTACAAGATATTTTACGGTTTATGTAAAATTAAAAAATGATTTCAAGCCTCATAACTTGGAAAGTATTTAATGAAAACTAACATAATTGTAGTGTTTTGGAAAGCTCTTGAGATGAGCTACAAGAATATGCAAAAGCATATAAGGTGTCCCATTTAAAAAGTTGGAGCTGACCTTCACGTGACCTTCGGGTGGCTCTTCAAGATTAAACTAATGACACCATCATATGTCCCCCTTGAAACCATACAACTTTTGTCTGAACAATTTTTTTGTATTCGGCTTACCAACGGAGTTATTCAGGTGGCCTGTTTTAGATGCCTCACCCTGTATATATGTATAATAGATATTATTATACAATATATATTATAGAATTGCGCGATTAGCAGCGTATTACAACATAACCAAACATAGAAGGAATAATTGGCATAAATATATGTTTTCTAAACATATATTATTACAACATGAATATTATTTATTACAATGAAAATTCTTTGTATAGGATATAACGTGTGGAGTGTGCACGTTGAAAATCAATAAAAACAATATTTTTAATCACGAATGCATGAAACATTGGCATAGGCACACTGCGCATGTCACACTTTTCGACGCTTTAACGCTCGACGCTCAGACGCTCCCATGTAAAAGCACCTTTAAGCATTGGGCGATATGAGTAGTTGTGTGCTATCGGGCTTGTGGGCTAACGGGACCCTCCCTGTGCAGGAGCCCTGAGGCTGCGGTCGGGAAGACTCTCTGGATGCTTTGAAACATCATTCTATCTTTGTTCTACATTCCATGAAAATAAAGATAAAATGATGTTTCGGAACAGAGAGAAACCTGAGAGCGGCCACTTCGCTTTAACGAGCACATTGTCCTAATGCGCCGCCTGACAAAGTGGACATCAACTACAGTCCATTACAGTCGATAATGATACATAGTTCGTATCCGAGCTATGGTTCGTATCTGAGCTATGGTTCGTGTCCGAGCTATAGTTCATGTCCGAGTTATGGTTCATATCCGAATTATTCACATGAGATGGACATAAGAGTTAGACAAGAGCCGATAATCTATCGTTCTGTTTTTGTCTCACCAACGATGGCAGACCACGCGGCGGTAGGCATGAGGCGAACGGTGATTTTCTATCGTAAAGCTCATGTCTCCTTCTATCCCTCGTCGGTTCCGTCTCATCTTTCACACGCTACATTTTACATAATTCGGATAGGATTTCGAGACGACTTCGGGCGCCCAATACATAAAGACAAATTTATTTATTGATTATAAAGACATTTATTAAAAATGTTTTTTTAATAAAACCTTTTCTTTTTATTTAAAATA